ATACGGACAAATCAGCTGAGCTAACAAAACCTAAGAACGAAAACAGTTCAATATATGTTTATGTCAACCAAGGCGAGAATTTGTAAAAGAGAAATTGTTTTGACCATTCACAGCCTGTCCTTTTCAGAAGGAAAAGTTGACAAAGCCAAAAAAAACCTTGGAAGGGTGGGGAGGGACGTGGGGAGCATTCATGCCTATTTTTACGCCTCTATGACTTTTTTCTCCATATCTTTGAGAATAATTTGAGAATTGACATTTTTTCGAAAAGATATTCAGAGTCGTTGCTAGCGGTGCTCATTTACCAGTCAACTGATAACCTCAAAAATTTTGGGCTTGTTTACAAGTAATTTGAAGGATTGAGATGATTATAGAGGTGAAAGTCAAATGAGATTAAACGCGCTGACAGCCAAAGTCCACAGAAAAAACCGAAGGGCAAATTGTGTTTGACCACAAATGATACGAAACAAACGGTATTATCCTCTAATCTTATGATATACCTGGGCGAAACACTTTCAGTGAACTATAGAACTTGTTGCTGATTGTCCTTCCAGTCAATTTCCACTAAATTCTCTTTTAAGGCGATCAGTTGTCCAATATATTGTGGGAAGCTTTGGACTTATCAAATACAGGTGGAGGGAGTTGTATCTTTTTAAATCTACATAATTGTGTTTGGCCTTTCTAAACATGTAAAGATTTAAAAAAAAAACTTGGATAGAGAACGTGACATTAATTTGTCCAGCGTTGCATTGCAGTCAAGGAAAATCTGCTTAATCATGATTTAAAGGCGGCGCCCGACAATCATAGGCACGTACTTGGAAAATTTCAACAACAAAAGCAATTAGTGATTCAGTATAGCCTTGTTTAACTGGACTCAGAGGTACTTATTGAATGGGAACAGCTATTCGACTAAGGATGGGGGGTGAGTATTTTTATTTTCTGCGGACTGCAGGTTCAGGCGACCAGCTAGTGGAGAAAGTATGCAAAAAGTAAAAGGAAAAGCATTACGAATGGGGAATACGCGACAGAAAATGAATGACCGAGATCTTATTAATTCACCTCATTTTTCTACGTTCGAAATTTAGTTTTCTTTAAGTGGAGCTACAGTGGTGGAAGGCGAAAAAGTTGTTTATGATAAAATTTTTTTACACTTGTCAGGTTTTCATTTTTTAGCTTGGCTTTTAAAACGCTGGATTCGGCTGTCTTTTTTAATTCCACTTATTTAAAGTACATTCTCTGCATTGCTTATTGAAATAGTAAAAAAAGCACAAAAAGATGCCCAGAAAGCGTCACTAGTCTCGGGCTGTTCATGAGGGTAACAAACGGTATAGCAACAAAAATTTCGTGTGACTGTTTTGGTGTGTAGGTTAGTAAGTTACAAAAAGCTTCTCTTACGATTCTATAGGCTACGATGTGGCCGAGAGTAACTTTTGTGGGGTATATGAATTTGCAGCTTGCTAGATATTAATGGGGTTTGTTTGCGCACGTAGAACCTCTTAAGAAACGGATTTAATCAGTAAATTCAGCTAAAAACAATGGAAGAAATGCAAGAAGTGACGCGGAAATTTAATACGAGCATTTTCCTTAACAAGATTGTCAACTGATCGCGTTATACCCTTGCTATGAGAAAAGATAAGGAATTATTATGACTTACTGAATGGAGAACCGAACTTTACGGGAAAGGAAATTGATACACGAAGGTTAACACTACCGAAAGTTGGATTACCCGTTTTTCACAGCTACAATAGCTCTCTAAATTCAATGCTCGTCCGTAAGACGAATTTTGTAGGCTGCCTCCTTCTCAGCCGCCCGCCCTTGTTTAAGTGGAGAGCGGGGGACAATGGTTAGACGGAAAGGGGAGAAAAGGTGCTCCGCGCTCGTACTCAACACCTCGCATTCACTTCATTGTGCTCTCCGCGTGGCCTTGGAAAAGCCTGTAGAGGAGGCAGCTGTGAAGGCAATTGTTTAATCGCTATAAGTTAACAAATTGAAAAGAGGCTAAAAAACGGAACAATCAGTATTGCCCCATCAACGTTTCCTACGATAACAAAACGTTCAAGTATAACCTCTCCTGAATACAAGGGAAGTCGTTTGGGCAAACCTGAAAGCAGACAACAGAATTTCGATTTCCACTGAAAAGTTTCTAATTGCCATGATATGCCTTCCCTTCAGGAGCCGTTGTTCTGTCTTTCATCCACGCAGTTGTGTTTGCTGTTGCATTTACATCAGCTCTGAACACCTCGACTTGGCATCGCTTTTGGTGGTGGACGTCAGGGAAGAGTTGGCCTGCAGGTGTCACCGATGTTCTGAAAAACGCATATGGAACGTGCAAACCAGGGGATATATATTGCTTCCAAAGGCTTCCTTCCTGGGCCGAGGAAGATTCAACAGAAATCCTTGCAATTGACTCCGAAGGAACTGTGTACCAATGGAAGTTTGATGCAAAGAACCCAACAGCACATGCTGCATGGCAAGCATTTCATGACCATCAAGAAACGGCAAGTGGTACGATTAAAAACAATCAAGCCTGGGACCCTGTAACATTGGAAGGAAACAAACCCAAAGCAACGCAAGACTCTTTCATGTACCGAGATCAGAATGGCGTGAAGTCACTTCTTCTGGACGACGACAACTGTGACTGCCTATCTACTCTGAGTATGGGTCATGGAATGTGCCTTGCTGGTCACCAAACCCAGTACAGCAAAGTTAATGTATCGGGTGTCGATAAATTGTACGATCCAGGTTGCCGGGGGCCTTCACCAGCTAACGGCCTTACTCTGTTTTTTCGAACCGCTAAGAAGCTGACTCTCGAAGATTTTGGCGGAGGTTGGAGAGCTTTCTGGTGGTACGAGAAGGATACCTATTGGCCTGCGCAAGTTACCGATATCCTTAGAGACTCATACGGCTCTTGCAAAGAGTTTGATACCTATTGCTTTCAGCGTCTCCCCAGATGGCTAAAGGAAA